TGGGCGCGCCCGGAATGGGAGAGTAGGGGGGAGGGAAGAGGAACCCGCGGCCCTTCATGCCGCGGGGCGACTCCGGGTAGCGTTCTCCAGATCCCAGGGAACCGATCCCAGTCTGCGGGACTTTCGCGGGCTGCTTTGGGGAGCAGGACCACCGGCGGGGCGTGGTACCACCTCCGCAGGCCAGGATACGCAGACCCCGCAGGACTTGTGAGCTATGTGCTTCCGATGTGGCTAAGAGAAAAAGGAAATTTTTCTTCCCCCTCCTCCCCCCGTCCCGGGGCGCAGGATTTCGGGTACTCTGGTCTGAATTCAGTTCCCTGGAAAGTAACGCCCGGACCCGTGGCTCAACCAGACACGAGACAGGGTTTCGCCCAGCCCAGGTCGCCGCTAAGCGCCGCCGTTTAGTTGTCGCGCTCCTTGGAATGTGTGGTCTTGGCCAGGGGCTGGGAGCAAAGGGAGAGAACCGAGATCGAGGCTCCACAACCCTTTGGTTCACGGCCAGCGGTTCCCTCCTCTTAGACCTGGAGACGGCAGCCTCCGAACCTTTAAGCGCTGCTCCACGTTGCCTTAATCCGCAGAATCCATTTCTCGCGATTCTTCTATTTCCTGCCTCTTCCGCGTCTGTGCTGAACGCGACCCTTCAGCCCAGGTGTTGAAGTTGGGATGATTATTATCGCAGCAAGAAAACACAAAAGTACGGCAGAGATCGGCAGCATCACGACAACCTTCGCTTGGGCTGTTGGGCGGCTGTTGGTGCCGTGGGAGCTCGCTTGGGTGAAGGAGAGAGCTCGGTCCGGCCCGGCCAGTCCACTGGCTCAGGTGCCCAGCGCCTAGGAGGGCCACCTCTCTGCTTCCGATGGGTGGACTCTCAAGACGTTTGTGAGTGGCCTGCTGTGCCAACTTTCCAAGAATAACACTAGAAAGCATGACACCGAAACACGTGCTTCCGGTTCCCTGGGGAGAGCTTGGTTTTTGTTGCTAAAAGTTGTGGTTACACACAATTGGCTGTTTAAGGGACTGTTTTTCAAGAGTTGATGTCATTTCTTTAGGAAATAATGAAGTCTGAAGCAGCAGTTCAAGTTACGTGTGTGGCATACGTGTATATTCAAATTATAATCAGATTAAAAATTGAAAATGAACTTTTTAAAGACATCAGCAAATAACAGATCTCTGCTTCTAGGGACCATTCTAATGACAGAATGGCTGCTCTGAGCCATCCTAAGTGAGTATTATAAAGAAGCGACTGCACAGGCCTACTTTTGGAATGATTCATTTCTGCCGGCAATTATAATTGCTTCCATTTGTGATACTAACATTAGGTAAAAGATTTGGGGCTGATTCAGCTATCTTACCCTTCTCATTTAGGCAAGACAATTTAGCTTAATATTTGAAACGTACAGTGACATAAAGCAAAGTGCATTTTCTCCACTTTATTGCATATAATTCTTTTCTATTATGGCTTTTAAAAAAAGCTTAACCCCATCTCCCATAAAACCAGTGAGCAGATGAGCTCCTAAAGAAAACTGGGCCCGGGGGGGGGGGGGAATACTATGGTTAGAAAGGCTGATTGAACAAGAATGTGGATTGAAACTCAAATAGCTTTTGACCTACTGGTATCAAGGTACCAAGGTCTAGACTCAAGCTCATTCTCGGAGCTACTCAATAAATTATAATGGCAAATTAAATAAATCTTTCAGTTCATTCATTCAACAAACATATAGTGCAAGTATATTGCGCTAGGTAGTCTGTTAGCCACAGAGGACTAAAGAGGAGCACTGTCTTATAGCCCTTAGAGATTCACAGGTGAGGGTGACAATTAGGTTAATGCTAAAACAGTGGGTTCTTATGGCAGGGACAAGGAGGAGCGCCCAGGAGAACAAGTGAATCAGCCTGAGAAGGCTTCCTGGAGAAGAAAATATGGTCTTTTTGAAACTTTTACTTTTTTTTTAATTATAAAAGCAATACATGCTCACTTTAGTAGACAGAAAGAAAACAAATGTTGTAGGTAGGTCAACACACTATCTTCAGTGTTCACCATCCCAGCCCTACTGCAGAGCTTACTACTATTTGATGTGGAAGCTTTCAGTCTCTTTTATATTTATATGTATACACATATAAACTCCCCCTTTAAAAAATAATGAAGCTAAAATATCATATCCATTTGTGTATGATTTACTGCTTTATTATTAGTAGTTTTTTTTTCTAGAGACAGAGTCTTGCTCTATTGCCCAGGCTGGAGTGCTGTGGCATGATCATATCCTAGCTCACTGAAGCCTTGACTGCTTGGTCTCAAGGGATCCTCCTGCCTCCACCTCCTGAGTAGCTGGGATTACAGGTGCAGGCCACCATGCCTGGCTAATTTTTTTTAAATGGAGATGGAGCCGGACGCGGTGACTCAAGCACTTTGGGAGGCCAAGGTGAGAGGATTGCCTGAGCCCACGGGTTCAAGAACAGCCTGGGCAACTTGGTGAGACCTCATCTCTACAATAAATCAAAAACTAGTCAGGCGTGGTAGCGCATGCCTGTAGTTCCGGCTATTTGGAAGACTGAGGTGGAAGGATCACCGGAACCCAGCAGGTCGACGCTGGGGTGACCATGTGCGTGTCACTGCACTCCAGCCTGCGCGACAGAGAGAGTTTCCAACTCAAAAAAATAAAAATAAAGATGGGGTCTTGCTATGTTTGCCCGGCCTGGTCTCAAACTTCTGGACTTAAGCAATCTGCCTTGATCTCCCAAAGCGCTGGGATTACAGGCATGAGCCACCTCACCTGGTCATAATTTGCTACTTTAAAAAGCATATTGTGGTCATTAGCCTCAAGATAGTCCCCAGTGATCTGCTTCCTGTATTCCCAGCCTTGTGTTAACTCCTCCCACATTTTACCAGCGTTGGTCTATGTGGCCACCTGAACACAGCAGAAATGATAGTATGTCCCCTCCACACTTGTTATAAAAGATTGAGACTTCTATCTTAGATGTTCTTTTTCTCTCGTATAGTTAGTCTAGGGGAAGCTAAATCCCACTTTGTAGAAACATACAGACAGCCTTTGGAGAGTACCACACAGTGAGTAACTGAGGCCTGTTAACAACCAAGTGAGTGGCTTCGGAAGCTGATCTGCAGCCATGTGACAGTTTAACTCTGATGTCATGAGAAAACCTGAGCCAGAACAACTCAGCTAAGCTCTTCCTATAGAGACTTGCATGATAATAAATGTGTGTTGTTTTCAACTGCTAGGTTTGGGGTGACTTGTTGCATGAAAATAGATAGCTAATATGCATATCAATAGTAATATATTTTTTTTCATTTCAGGACACCTTATTCTTTTAAATGACTGCTTTATAGTATAATCTTTCTCCTATAGACAGGCATTTCGGTTTTACCAAACCATTACATAATGAATATCCTTTGGACATTTACATACTTCTACAAGTATTATGAGAAGTGAGAAGGTAGGGAATCCTAGAAGTAAAATTGCTGGGGGTCAAAGGATAATTTAAAATCTTAACTAATTGCTAAATTGCCTTTCAAAAAAGTGTGTGACCATGCTCTCACTTAAACCATTACTGGATATTACCAATATTTAAGTGTTTGCCAAACTGATAAGCAAAAAGGAATCTCATTTTAATTTGCATTTCTTTGTCATCAACGGGTCTGACTGAACCTTTTTGAAATATATTAAACATTTGCCTTTCTGCTTCTGGGAATTGTTTATTGGTATCCTTCATCCACATTTATGTCGGTTGTCTTAGTGATTTTTAAGAGCTCTTTGAAATTTCTGGACATTTACTATTTTCATGTGTGTTGCCAGTATATCCTGCCATCACGTTCTCTTTTAGCTTTGCTAATGATGTGTCTTGCTACTTTGGTTTTTGTATGTTGTCAACCTTTTTCTTCATTTCACATGACTTTTAAATGATGGGTAGGAATTTGCCAAGAGCAGAGCAGTTCAGGTGCACAGACTAGCTGGAGCGAAGGTGGAGCTGAAAACCTGCATTATTTCCTTGGGGAATTTGGGAGCACTGTGTGTTGCTGAGGCGCCATGTGCGTGGAAAGGGGAGCTGCAGAGACAGAGGCTAGCCCCAGAGGGCCCCCTTAGCTGCCTCAGTCTTTCCCATGGGCGATCCTATAAGCAGAGAAAGGTTTTATACTGAAATTAATGTAATCAGATTGCGCTTGAGATCGGTCTCCGGCAGCTGTGCTGAGGGAGATGGCTCTGAAGCCACAGAACTAGAAAGAGACACACCATTTAGGAAGCTGCAGTTACCCAGAGAAAAGCGAAGGATGAGTTGAACTGGGGCAGTGGTGGGTGAATTGGGCGGAAGAGACAGAATGAAGCAACATTTAGGGATAAAAGGGACCTAATTCAGTGTGAGTGGAGTGGAGAGGTAGGATAAGGGAAGGAAAGATGGTGTTTGGTCTTTAGCTTGATCTAAGCGGATCTTTCAGCCTGACTCCTTATTGCCAACAAATAAAAAAGCATGTGCAGGAGAAGCCAGTTTAGTGAGTGAGTTTGGCTGGAAAAAAATGAGTGTAGACTTGTGGGAACCCAGGTGGGGAGGGCAGGAGGTACAGATCTGGGGATATTCCGCATATACATGAAAAAATATATGTAAGAAAAAAAATATATGGAAAGACACTTAAATGGATTAGCACATCCAGGAGAGGCCTGTTAAGTAAGAGGGTAGTGAGAGTTCATTTCTGGAAGAGCCAAATTATCGCTAGATATACAGCTAAGGAGTACCAAAGGCAGAAGGGACAGCTGGCTCTCAGCCTGGATCTCTCCGGGTTTGAGGGACCTTGGCAGGGGCAGCCCAGACTCATACAGCTTCTTAGCTCTTTAGACGCAGAAATTCAATCCTGTCAATTCACTCAGGGATAATCAGGATCTAGTCACCAGAGATGCATGTCTTGGGTTGATGCACACGTTCGTGGTATTTTTGGCTTGCCAGGCCATTGCAAATGTTGCGTGCTGGTGGCCTGGTCACAGTGCATCGCATTAGCCAATGCTCGGGTTGACTGAGGTGGGTCATCATGACTTAAAGTGCTTAAAAGGTCATCAAAGCTTGATGGTCTTCCTGAATGAGAAGAATCACTCAGGTCAAAGTGGCCCTCTTTGAAATGACAAAACCACTTTCTTGCTGTGCTTTCCCCGAAGGCATCTCCCTTTACACAGCTGCCTCCCTGCCTTTACTCCTCAAACTCCAACAGAAGAATATGAAGGACGTGTTCATTTTTTTCGACTTGACATTCCAACTTCTGTAGCCCGCAAATAGCAGTTTCTTCCAATCGGCAAAACTGCAAGGTGTATCCACCAGCACAACACTGTCACTCCAGGTGACAAACGATAAACTCCCAACATCACCGTGTTTTCGTGCCAAAAACAAAAGCAATGAACTTATGCATCAACCTACTATTACGCAGTTGGTGTTCTAAACATCTCTAAGATCCCTAGAATGGAGGGGAAAAATAAATAAGGAAGATGCTAGTTTTTACATCACAAATTCTTGTTTCAAAAGATGCATGATATTTTGTTAATAAAACCTCCTATATTCTAAAAGGGAAGTAAATCATTTCATTTCAAATATGATCCAGGTTGGGTATTTTAAAAGGTCTATTACAAATCCTGCTGATACAGAGAACACCCACTGTGGACCTGCTTTTATTTATTTTATTTTATTTTGAGTTGAGTCTCACTCTGTCGCCCAGACTGGAGTGCAGTGGCCGCCCCTGGCCACCACAGCCTCGACCTGCTGGGCTCCGGCGATCCTTCCGCCTCAGCCTTCCAAGTAGCTGGAACTACAGGCGTGCACTGCCACACCCAGATAATTTTTTGATTTATTGTAGAGGTTAGGTCTCGCCAAGTTACCCAGGCGGGTCTCAAATCCGCGGGTTCAGGCAATTCACTCACCTCAGCCTCCCAAGCGCAGGATTATAGGCTGAGCCACCGAGCCCAGCAACCTGCTTTTATTGACCCACACCTTGCTGTGATGCCTCTTTAGCTCATACAGAGGGAAGCAACAAGAAAAGCTCTATGAAGTGCATCACTGTGGCAACTCCAAGGATGTGGATGAGTATCTCGTTCATTACAATATACTTAAGCAGTGTCCTCTTTATCAGCAATTAGTATTGCTGGTCTTGGAACCAAAAAGAAGCTGGGTGCAGTGGCATGCTCCTAAAGATCCAGCTACTCAGTAGTCTGAGGTGAGAGGATTATTTGAGCCCAGAAGTTAGAGACCAGCCTGAGCAACATAGTGAGACCCCCATTACAAAAACAAAAATGAAAAAAAAAAAGATAAAGAAAGAAAACAAACACAAAGACAACAAGAACCAAAAAGAACTGTACATTTTTTGAGATTATTCATTCATTTAACAAATAATTACTGAGCACCCTTGTATACCAGGCATGGTGCTAAGGCCAAACCTGGTGCTAGGACAGAGGTCCATGTCCTTTAGGTCATGAGCATTGAGTTATGTGACTGACCAGATTTCCCATTTATGAGGTTGGAAACCTCAGTAGTAAATCTTTGGCCCAACTGGTAGCAACTTGACAGGACTCTGAAGTATGTATTTTCAAGCCCCACTCTTGACTCCAGCTTCTATCTTTCATTCTACCTTTTAATTTATATTGTTTTGTTTCTATATCTTAAGCTGTCTTCATTTTATTTGCAAGAAACAAAGAAATATGTAAATAAGACAATCTACATATATCAGTTTATTTTAGTTCTATTACAAGTATATTTTGTTCTTTAAAAATTCTTAAACACTTAAGAATCTACTTATAACTTCTGCCATTTATGACATTTTAATACCATATAAAAATATAAATGTTATGCAAAGTAATTTGTTTTGCTAATTTTACCCTTTTAACCTATTTTTTTCTCTCAGTTCATCTGTACCTAGAGATTTTTCAAAGAAACTCGGAGAGGTAGTAAGGAGGGTTTATAGTATTACCTGAGTTTAGTTTTAGGACAAAAGCCGGAAGCCTTAGTAGGACATAATACTTTTTGTTCAATGGACAATATTTTAAAATTTGGTATTAGACAAGGGGGAAGAGAAAAATACAAAGTCATAGGCACACTATCTAAAAGTTTTTGAATTCTTAACTCACAGCATTCTATGCTTTTAAAGCATGGCACCAGTCCTTGAGAGAATCTCATTCAGTCTATGTGTCAGGTATATAGCAGATGCTCATAAATAACTACTGAATAAGTTAAATCTACATCAGAGCCCGGTTACTGAACCACAGGTATATTTACATTATTATATAGAGTATTGTTTTCATGCATAAAATTTATTAGAAAAAGCAATCTTGTTGGGGATGTCATGAAATGATAAATGATCAAGAGAAGCAGCTTGTTTTGATTTTTATCAATAGCAGTGATTATATTATACATAAAAATGACATAAATTAAAAATGAAATATATCACTATCTCTAAGTATAATCTACTGAGCTCCCATATTTTAATCCATTTTATAATACAGAGACTACATTTTATTAGATATTATAAGATATACCATAATATTAATGATTTATTAGGATTTTTAAGAAATATGGCTTATGTACCAGGCTTAAAGAGTGAGCCAAAGTCTTTATCAGCTGCCTCAAAACTTATTCCAGGGTAAATTTGAAAAATCTGAAATCCGGATAGCATAGAAAGCATAATGTCCACGTTTTCAATATTTATTTGCTGTTCAGTAGTTCTTCAGCCAGCAACTTCTGTCTTTAATCAGAGTAGTTATCTCAGGCGGGAATACTCAGACAAGCAGGATCATATATCTTTATCGTTTCATCCCAAGAACAGTCAGCCACCTACAAAACAAAAATGAAGTAAGAAGAAACAAAGTAGATGTGTGAAAATTCAAAATGGGCAGCAAAAGCCTAAGTCATTTAGAGTGTAGTAGATAATTAATTAGGAAACATTTTGAAATAGGAAAAACAAAAGGTCTATCTTCTCTTCTTAAGATCCACTTCAGGGACTGTTTCCAATGGGCTGAGGTTGCCTGCAAGGATGTCCCCACTCTCTCCCCACCTGACAGCTACATATTTCTACTTCCTGAGGAAAATGCTGAAAAGATGCATTCCTGGACTGTGAATGTAGACAGCTCAGTATTGTGGGGACAGAGAGAGGAAGATAAAGCACAGTTGTTGCCTCCAAAAAATGGATCATTCAAGACCAAGTGTGGAAGGTGCTTTAAAACAGATTCAGGAGGGACTATGATTCCAACTAGGGTAGTGTCAGACATGAGACAAAGCCATTCAAGTCTAGAAAACCATATGAAAACACGAAGGGGCCAAGGTGTGGTAGCTCATGCCGGTAAATCCAGCACTTTGGGAGGCAGAGGTGGAACGACTGCTTGAGCCCAGGAGTTCGAGATCAGCCTGGGCAACATAGCAAGACCCTGTCTCTACAAAAGATACAAAAATTGGTGTGGAGTGATGGTGCACACCTATAGTCCCAGCTACTCAGGAGGCCTGAGGCTGAGCCCTGGAGGTTGAGGTGAGCTGTGATCCATTGACTATTCCACTGCACTCCAGTCAGGGTGACAGAGCGAGACCCCAACTCAAAAAAGAAAAAGAAAACATGAAAAAGAGAAAGCCTATAGTGTTCAGGAATTGTGCATTAAAAACTTAATGGTGGTTGAGCTTGATGTCTCAGCCTGTTATCCTAGCACTTTGGGAGGCTGAGGTGAGTGGATTGCCTGAGCCTGCGGGTTCGAGACCAGCTGGGCAACTTGGCAAGACCTTGTCTCTACAATAAATAAAAAATTAGCCAGGCGTGGTAGTGCGTGCCTGCAGTTTCAGCTACTGGGAAGGCTGAGGTGTCAGAATCACCAGAGCCTAGCAGGTCAACTCTGGGGTGGCTGTGAGTGTGCCACTGTACTCCAGCCTGGGCAACAGAGACTCCAACTCAAAAAACAAACACCCCCCCCCCCCCCCCCCGCAAAAAAAAAACTTAATGGTGTAGCAGCAATGTCTCCGGGTATAAAATTAATATACAAAAATAAATTGTATTTCTATATAGTAGTTTTTTAATAGAAATGGACAAAGTGATTTTAAGCATTTATGTGGAAATGCAGAGGAGTTAAAATAGCTAAAAGAATCTTGAAAAAGAACAGCAAAGCTGCACTACTTGCACCACCTGACTTCAAGACAGGATGAAGCAGCAACAATCAAGAAATCCAGTATTAGCAGAAGGATATGCAAGTAGATCAAAGGAAGAGTTCAGGAATAGGCCCCACCCTTTGACAAATGGTTTTCAACAAAGGCACCAAGATAATTCAATAGGGAAAGGAAGATCTTTTCAATAAATGATGCTAGAAGAACTGAATATCCATATGGAAAAAAATGAATCCTGACCCCAACTTCACACCATAAAAATTACTTTCAGATGGACCACAGACCTAAATATAAAAGCAAACAATGTAACATTTTTAGAGGAAAACATAAGATAATATATTCTCTTTATGGAGGACGTGAAAATTTCTTAGGTATAGAAAGCAATGACCACAACAATTTGTTGTTGTACTCAATCAAAAATAAAATTTTTGGTCATCAAGAGACACCGTTAAGAAAATGAACAGGCAAGCCACAGAGTGGAATAAAATATTCACAAGACATACACTGGATAAGTAAGTTGTATCCAGAATATATAAAGAACTACTACAAATCAATAATAAAAGGCAACCCAATGAAAAAGGATGGGTAAAAGACTTTAATGGACAATTCACAAAAAATATGTATGAATGACCAATAAACACACACAAAAAGTACAAGTGGGTAATATGGTCTTTTTAACAATGTTGATTCTTTCAATCCATGGGATGTTTTTCCATTTTGTGTTCTCTACAATTTCTTTCATCAGTGTTTTGTAGGTCTCCTTGTAGACCTCCTTGGTTAAATATATTCCTAGGTATTTTAGCTTGTTGGCTGCTATTGTAAGTGTAACTGAAGTGGCTTACAGATTAACCTACAGGGTCAAATAAAGATTTAAAAAAAACAACAAAAAATCTGTTCTAAAGCGAACCAATGGAGCAAAAGTTTTCAGGCATCAAAGCGGGTACACCACACACTTGCATAATAATAGGCTCTATGCTTTACGATAGCTAAGGAGAAAACAAAAGCACACTGAGTAATTCAGTTTCTGTTTTCTAACATCAGCATATGATGTAAACAATTCTGTGTAACTAAACCTGAATAGAATTTTTTTAAGTCAGGGACTATATCTTGATTAAATATGTGAATCTATTCCTTATGTTTTATATACAGTAAATCCCTGATAGATGCTGGTTGAATAAATGAATAAAGCAATCCATGTAGGAGGCAGGGTTATCTACAGGATTTTGTTGACTAGACAGAGGCTCGCAGTTGATAAAGGGCATATAATCAGGTGTGAGATCAGAGATTTGGGTAAAAGCAACAAGTTTTATGGGATTTAGGGAATATAAGAGATTTTTAATAGTCAGGAACATTATTTCTTTAATTTTTTTTTTTTATTTTTTGAGTTGGAGTCTCGCTCTGTCGCCCAGACTGGAGTGCAGTGGCACGCTCCTGGTCACCGCAGCCTCGACCTGCTGGGCTGTGGCGATCCTTCCGCCTCAGCCTTCCAAGTACCCGGAACTACAGGCGCACGCTACCACGCCCAGCTAATTTTTTGATTTATTGTTGAGATGAGGTCTCGCCAAGTTGCCCAGGCAGATCGTGAACCTGCAGGTACAGGCATTCCACTCACCTCAGCCTCCCAAAGTGCTGGGATTACAGGCTGAGCCACTGAGCCCGGCCAGCAGGAACATTATTTAGAGAAGTTTCACAAGGAGCTTTCTTTTATGTCCTAGGAATTGTTAGTCAAATATTCCTTGGCATTACAAAGCTATCTAACACATAATTAATATATACATATATTCATCTATTTATTCAACCAGGATTTATTACAAACCTCCTCTGTGTTAGAAGTATGCAGAGGTAAACAGTAAATATGATGGTCCTGGTCTCTGTTCCTACAGATCTTGAGTCCAGTGGAGAGATGGATAAGTTAAAAGACATACTGCAGAGTAATATGTACAATAACAGAGGAATTATGGAGTCCCATAAAAGCAGGCAAGGGGCCACTATTAACCAAGTTAGAGAAAAGTGAGTGCTTTTAGGAAGAAGTACTTTCTAAGCTGAGGCTTAAAGGAAGAGTCTGCCAGAATGCATTTGTGGTAGTGTTGGGAGGGGTTGGGAGGATGAGGCACAACAGAGAAATGTTCGAGACAGTGGGATAAAGAAAGAGCCCAGGCTCGGTGGCTCAGCCTATAATCCCAGCACTTTGGGAGGCAGAGGCGAGTAGATTGCTGGAGCCCGTGGGTTTGAGACTCACCCGGGCAACTTGGCGAAACCTCGTCTCTACAATAAATCAAAAAATTAGCTGGGTGTGGCAGCACACATCTGTCGTTTCAGCTGCTTGGAAGGCTGAGGCAAAAGGATCGCCGGAGCCCAGCAGGTTGACTCTGGGGTGGCCGTGAGCATGCCACTGCACTCCAGCCTGGGCGACAGAGTGAGACTCCAACTCAAAACAACAACAACAACAAAAAGAATAAAGAACCAAAGTTTTAGTTTTAAGGCAACTAAACTGCACTATAACTCCTCTGATGAAACTCTTAATCTTTTAAGAGGAGGCTTTTTTCTGAACACTGTTAGGGTTTCTTGAAGGCTAGCTGCCAAGGCATATCTTGTGTGACCCTCTTTCCCTGCATGATGAGCGTGCATGTGGATACTGAAGGGCAGGAGCCTCCGGGTTCTCCTGTTTCTGCCCAAGGACATGCAAGTGGAAAGTTATTCCTTAACTGCAAGCCCCCACTGTGGTACATTTCATCCCTACCCCCTTCAGCATTTCCTTTAACCGGAGACCAAAATGTGCAAATCATTTCATCAAAACTCATAATTATAATTAGCAACATTATAGAAAAAATGATTAATCAAAATGTTATATTTCTTTACTTAGTATAAAATCTAAAGAGAGAATCAATCTTCATTATTATTTTTAAAAGCTGCTATCTTCTAGGGTAGTAAGAAATGACTAAACGAATACAAGTCCTGTTTTTAATTATTTCATTTTAACTTTAATAAGCAAAACAGACATTTCTGTCTTGAAATAATAAGCACATTAATCAGAAATATGAATTGCTTGTTATTGGACTAATATGTCAATTTCTATAGAACATATAATAAAGCTTTCTTGAAAAACGGAAGAGAAGTTTATTATTTATCAATATAAGCCACTAATTTCTCAATACCGCTATAGCATATACATCAAGACATCACCAGAGACGGAATGCTAGAGAGCAACTGTATTAAACCAACATTCCAGCATTTCCTATGTGCAAAATACTGGACTAGATGCTACACAGCCCCAAGAATAGCAAAGAAGCATGTATTCTATAAGGAGTGAATAATACAAGTTTATCAAACAAGATATATGACAGAACATCTTCAATAACAATGGTCCTATAAATGCAGATTTTAGAGAAGGAAACATTATAATGAAAGAATTATATTTTAAATACATGTGAAGTTCAGAAAATGAATTTATATTCCTTAATTTTATCAACTCCCTCTACTTTATTAAAATGTTTACACATGCCACTGATAAGGTCACTTATCTCAAATGACTTACAATGGCTGTTAATAATAACCAAGAATTCCAACTGACCCATTAAGAGATTTACTTTATTGACAAGTTTTCCATTTCCTATTTATCATTATACTCTTTTCCCTCAATTTCGTGGACAATTGCTTTTGCCCTTGGGAAACTTGTTCAATCTACTGTAATT